CTTTCACTGAATCCCTCTTTTCCTACCTTCCCTTCTCTTCTTCCTCTCCATTTTCTGTTTCAGGAGGTTAAGCCACCCTCGAAGGGGCTTCCGAGGTGAGCGGTATCTCACCAGAATGTTCAAGGCAAAAGGCATTGAAATGCATAGATGCATCAGAGTCCAGAATAGATAAGCAGTGGATCTACATAGGACCCATGGATAGGAGAGGGGTTGAGGTATTCTGACTATATGATCCCAGATATCATATTTATGGTCATTTTTACCACATAGTCTAAACAAGGAGTAAGACACTTCTAGGGTGGATTGAAGTTCTGCCTTGGACTTGGCTTAGTATTCAATGAAAACGTTTCCAGTGCAAAGTTATAGTAAATGTCACTTAGCATGTCATCAACTGCCCCACCTACTAACCATACTTCCCCCGTTCTCTTTCCAGAAGGTGATTTTACACGTCCCTTCCGTCCTGTAATAAAACTATTTCATACAAAACAAACACCATTTATTTATCAAAAAGAAAAAACACTATAGACCCCCATGGTCTATACCTGACATTTTCATGGGTTATGCTTTGATATGGTGAAACTGTTTTACAGAAAATCAAATATCTTCCAAGTCTCTGAAGCAGATCACAAAATCAAATATCTTCCAAGTCTCAATGGTGAAACTGTTTTACAGAAAAGAGAAAATCATTTTTATTGGCCATAATTGTTAAGGTGTGATCTGTTACAGCTTGCAACATCAGTAACAATGGATATGGCACTGAATAGAACAGATTGGCATAACAGGATTCATATAGCCGACTCCATACAGTTTCGACAAAGATTAGCAGATGATGTTGATGATTAAGGAGTATAGGCAATTTCTAGATACAGTGAAACAAGTAGTTGCCTAGGCAAAAGAATTCTATAAAATTAAAACCAAAAAAATATATATGTTTTTGGTTAGTTTCCTAGTTTTGTTTACAAATTGACATGCTTATAAATTGAAAAATAGCAATTTCATATCAAATTAACAACTAGAGAAGACCATAACTGTATATAGTAAAAATTTAAGATAGAGAGTAAGAAAAGAAGAAAAAAAATAAGGAGTGGAGCCACTGTTTAGGGAAAGGGGGCAGACTCTTTCTCTTCTTTCATTCTTTTTCTTTGCTTGAGTATATCAATACACATACTAATACAATGCAACATATCAATACTATTAAATGTAGCACCTTGCATTTTGTTGCCTAGGCGGGCACCTACTCACCTAGATAAGCGCCTTTTATATACAAGTGAAGGTGTTCAGGCTGGGCTCCTAAGCAACCCTTTAATAACTATGGGTCAAGTATGTGGATTAATATATTCTTGGGACTCTAATGAGTAAAACACATTCGGTTATCGCCTTTGGGTGATGATGCATAATCAGTGGAAGGTCATGACCCTGTATAAAGAGCCATACGGTAATCCATTCGTTCAGAAGCAAACGGAAATCAAAAACCCTAATATGAGTTTGCACTGCTAACAYCTTAAAGAAGCATATGTATCTCTTATACGAAAATTTATTAGCAATCTGTTACAGTAGGTCATCAATCCAAAACTTTTACAAATAAGCTGTATCCAGACAAATTTAAGCAGATAACAGCATCTCAAGGGAAGAGAACTGGTGGCACCTGAATACCTGATACAAGCCCTCGTGATCAATAAAATGAATGGCGTCTCCCGAAGCTTTGACATCTTTGATCCCGTACCTATCCAACGATAGCTCGAAAGAAGTTTTTCTGTAAGAAAATTAAAGTAAAATAAATAATAAAAGAAAAATATAATAGGACCATCCGAGTCTGATTAACGAGGTGGTGACAAGTGAGAAAAACATGCTTTTCCTTTCATTTCTTTGATAACCTTCTGTTTACCTCTAGAGGAGCATGGGAGGAAGGCTTACGTTCTTTGAAGAGTAGAATTGTGGTTGGGTTGCAGGGCGTCGGCAATTGCAGATCCGACGCCGTCGGCGTCTCTGAATAGCAAAATAATCTTCGGAGCGGTCTTCATTTCTCGCACTTTTTTTCCTCTCCCGTCTCTTCTCTGTTCGAACGAATAAATTATACATCCCTTTACATTCCTCCTCTTAGGAGATTCTCAGGGGATATTTGGAACCGTGGCCGTTTTAAAAAAAAACGGTGCCACGTTACTATCCACACAGGCGTTTCAACAAATGCCCACGTATCTTATTGTTTGGTTCAGCCAATTATTAAAAAATCGGGCGTGCTTCGAAAATCAGAAGCCCATCGATGCATGAAACGTTAATGCATCGGTGAACCGTTTCCCCCAATGATTGACTGATATATGGTGTTTACCTGGCAGCACATACAAAAAAAAACGGTAATGAAAATTACCTTACCGAACAGTATATTGTTGCTCATTGCCTATGTGGTAGAAGTGTTTTTTTTTTTTGAAAAATAGGTCTTGAAAGCATAGGCATTTTTTATTGAAAATCSGTCCCAAAAAACATCTACACTTCCAAACACCATGTTAATTTAATGGTTGTAAACACCTGCCTTACCTTTTGGTTTTGGGTAAAATATGTACTCAAATTTCTTAAATTACCCTTGGTTTAGTTAATTGACTTAAATATACCCTTTTAATTATTGCCTTAAACCACCCTTACTATTTCTGTATAATGAAAATGATGAAATGTTCCTTTTGCCCTTTATGTTAAGAGAAAAACTGGGGAGAGACGAATATTCTCTCTCCAAGCAGCAGTAGGGATGCCAGAATTTACATCCCCGCCTCACAATGTCCCACAGTACATTCCCGCCGTGTATTGAAAACATCTCCCAATGATAGTATCAGACCTGATAATGTCATCATCGAAAAATGTTCCCAATGCACGACAGKAATGTAATGTAGAACGTTGTGGGGCTGAGATGTGTACTCCGGATGGTGGCGGTAATGATACATTATCTGTATGTCACCTTGACTAAATGAATCATTAATGCTCGTGAAGATGTGAGAGAACAAAAGGCACAAATAGAACCTTTCTAGCACAAAGTATCCCAAATCAGATTCCCACTGATATTATTCCTTAACGATTTCTGACTGAGCAGTTCATAAACACGCAACTCATGTTAAATTCAAGCTTGTGTTATTTAGAGAATAATGTTTAT